GTTCTTTAGCCCAAACAAGTCTCTTCTGCTTGTTGCCTGTCCTTAGCAGTGGTTTCCTAGCAGCTATTTTACCATGAAGACCTGATTCACAGTCTCCTCTAACAGTTGTTCTAGAGATGTGTTTGCTGCAGAACTCTGTGTGGCATTGACCTGCTCTCTAATCTGAGCTGCTGTTAACCTGCCATTTCTGAGGCTGGTGACTCAGATGAATTTACCGTCCACAGCAGAGGTGATTCTTGGTCTTCCTTTCCTGGGGCGGTCTTCATGTGGGCCAGTTTCTTTGTAGCGCTTGATGGTTTTTGCGACTGAACTTGGAGACACAAAAGTTTTCACAATTTTTCAGACTGACATCTTCATTTCTTAAAGTAATGATGGCCACTCCTTTTTCTTTACTTAGCTGCTTTTATTTCTTGCCATAATACAAATTCTAACAGTCTATTCAGTAGGACTATCAGCTGTGTACTGAATCCACCTTCTGCACAACACAACTGATGGTCCAAACCCCATTTATAAAGAAAGAAATCCCCCTTATTAAACCTGACAGGGCACACCTGTGAAGTGAAAACCATTTCAGGTGACTACCTCTTGAAGCTCATCAAGAGAATGCCAAAAGTGTGCGAAGCCGTAATCAAAGCAAAAGGTGGCTACTTTGAAGAACCTAGAATATAAGACATACTGTATTTTCAGTTGTTTCACACTTTTTTGTTAAGTATATAATTCCACATGGKTGAACTTCAGTTCTCCAGGACATATTCAGATCTGGTACTCCACATTTAGAGGGGCCCGTTGAGGTGGTTCATCTGGTAAGGATGCCCTCTGGACACTTTCCTAGGGAGGTGCTTCAAACATGTCCAACCCCAAGGAGAAGACACCGGGGGAGACCCAGGACACGATGGAGAGATATGTCTCTTGGCTGGCCTGGGAACACATGGGAATTTTCCCAGTACAGCTGAAAGAGATGGCTGTGGAAAGAGAGGTCTGGAACTCTGAAACAAGCGGAAGATAATGGATGAAGGTGGTGGGTGAAGAAATTCAGTCATCACAAACATGAAGAAGACACGTGTAGTTGATAGATAGCACACTGTTTTATTAGTATATTTAGCTTTGTGACGTACAGCTTGGGAGGAAACTAAACAAAACATGACAAACTTAAAAAATCTGACTTTTCAGCCTTAACAGGGACATCACAATAAAGAAAGCACATTTTTTTCCATAAATTTTCTCAAAATCATGGACCAAAGTGGTAAGTTCTCACTGCTGAGAGAGGTACAGTATCGCTCTCAGGGAGGTAACAGAAAAATAACCCTGAATCTGTTTGTTTCCCCCTTTAGTTTTAATGTTGCTTCACAAATATAATCAACACTTGCCTAAAGAATCATAAGATTATAGCACAGGTACTGGAAAAAGGTTTCCACTGGTACATATAATTAAAAAAAACACAACAAATATAAAAAGAAGTCTTGATATCATTCATATGGTATCAAAGGGAAATGGGCTTTCATTTTTTTTTGCAAAAGTTGTGTTTTTAATTTTTTCCTGAGGTTAAGTGTTGTTGTCTGCGGTTTCAGTTCCACTAAATATACTAATAGTCTAAATGACCCACCACACGGGGTCTGTCATGGCTTATCATTCACTGAGGGGTCCGCTCCACCAGCAACACTGATTGTGTGAGCTGAGGAGGGAACCCGGAGGTCAAGGACCAGGTTCCCCAAGYTGATCCTTAATCTCCCCTTAATCAGTTTTAAACAGGGACATCAACTGAGACGCTTCACTGACCTTCCAAAGTATTAGCATTCCACAGAGACGTGTGGCTTCATGTTGAGCCTTTCAAAAACAAACAACAAGATGCTGACAGTGGCCCTCCTTCAAACAAACAAACAAACAAACAAACAAACAAACAAACAAACAAACAAACAAACAAACAAAAACATAAAACTGAGCAGCAGCTGAATGAAGGACAGTAACAAACTGAAAACAGAAGGTGTCCTTCTGAGGACAGAATAAAGGTGTCCCCCTGGTGATAAGCTAAAGATGTTTCTTTTTCAACAGGCTAAACGTGTGAAATGCTGACTCTAGGTTACAATCGCATTTGTTATCCTAAAGACAGAAGCAGTGACTGAAGGGACAATCAAGAGGAAAACAGAAAAAATTAAAAACAATTCAAATCTGTACATGTAAACATCACACTTCCACTGAATCAAATAATGATGGAKAACCAGTTTTCACATTGGTTTTACAGTGTGTCCACAGGCCTGGCAGAGGAACCAGGAACATCAGGAGTCCAAAACAAAGACCAGGGGTGACAGGCATTAAGTTTGAGTGGAACTTTAGTTTTGATGAGACTGTTGTAAGTGTAGATTTATCAGATGGGACCTGACCAGCATCACACCACAAAAACCCCTCTGACCTTCACAATAAGGTTGYTTTTCTTATAAACCACCTGTACAATCACAGRTCAGTGAAGGCAGCACTTAAATGTTTTCATTCCAGAGACAAATTCTTTATTTGGCACTTTTTTACCAGGTTCACCCAACCCTCCACTTCACCTCCCCCCCTCGCCCCCCCCTTTATACAGCAGCTGATTATTTTGTCAAAGACAGAAARACAGTCTGCAGCCTATACTCATCCTTACCTTCAATAAGATTCTTTAACAGGATTTATTTTTCATTAGTTTGTTTTTGTTTGATGACATCAAGAAGAATGATTTGATTGTGGCCCTCTGACCATTTTTTTGCCAATATGTGTTCTAACCCAGTACCCGATAGGGTTAGAGTAAAAGTACAAGTATCTTAAAGTAAAATTACATTGGTGAAA